CCTCTTCACGCCAAGAGGCCGTTCACATAATGGGAGGTTTTCAGACAACTTCTGTCGTAGTGTCCTTGATTTTTCTGCTGCCACACAGCTCTTCCCCACTCTTCCCACTTGTTTACGAGCATACACATTTCCTTTTCTGCAATCTCCCAAGGTAAGAACTGAGGGTTTTAAAGAACAGGGACATAGCAGAAGTCAAGTAAGAGTGATTGGAGAGAACTGTCAACAAATGCTGCTTTTCACATTTTTTTTCACTTAAAATGTTTAAATATCAAGTGCGACAAATGCCACTTACTGTCACGCTTTTAGCGTTAGAGATGCTGTTTTGGGGCATCTCTTTTAGTTGGAGTGGGCTCAGTTTGTGATCTGTGTAACAGTTTTTTCCTGAGGTTATAAATTGGATCAAATTCAAGTCAATTCCGAGGTTGGTGAGGATGAGGTGGGCATCGGCCTTCTCTTGCACTCTGGGTGTCTTTTCCAGTGGTGTGGGCAGCTCTGTGGTGATAAAGCGCTGTGCCACTCTTGGCTGAAGAACAACAATGGAGAAACACTCCACCATTACATTAAAGCTCCGAATGTAAACAGCAAAGTCGATTTCACTGCACTAACGTAGTTTACCCAGGCTGAGCTAGGTAGAGATGAATTAAAATTCTGAATGCGTGGCTGCTGTTTGGCATGGATGAGGTTACTTTATTCCTTGTGGGTTTTCAGTATCAACTCAGGGTTTGGTGTTTGTTTTACTTGTCTGACTCAGCCTGTTCAGATTGTTTGGGTCAGAGCAAGTACATTTGTCACCTTACCCCCAACTTGAAACCTTTTTGTAATCACCTTGGGCACCAGAACACTGATATGTAAAAGTTACATGTGTAGGTCTTTCCCAGATTGTTTTGTAAAACAGGAAGTTTTTGTTGGGTTTATTTTGAAATTGAAATTGTTGGTGGCCTCAGCTCTAGGAGGTAGGTGACAAGGTACTCGATGGTGATGAAGGGAAAATGAACAATTGAATGTTGAAAAATATCTTTATTTTTTAAGCAACAATTTGGCAAGTCCCTGGGTGTTCAGGAATCTGCATTCTAATGTAGTGGGTCAGAATTCCAGCTTAGATCTCAACCAAAATGTCTCAGCCTCAGGCTTCATAATTCTCTGTGGTGGGCTGTCCTGTGCATTGTAGGATTTTTAACAGTATCCTTGGCCTCTACCCAATAAATGCCAGTAGCATTTTATCCCCAGTGTGATAACCATAAATGTCGATAGACATTGCCAAATGTCCTTGGGGTGGGGAAAATGGGGTGTCAAAATTGCTCTGTTTGAGAACCCACTGGTCTAGCTTGTTGATAGCTTGAGTAACCAACTGTATTGATAAAAACCACCATTGCTCATCAAAAATGCCTTTTCTGATAGACTTATTAGCTGTTTTGCTTGTGTGTTCTTTGCTGTATAAGTCTGTAAGCATTAACTTAAGACAAAACTTTACAAATTAGTGTAAACTAATAGAGGGTGAATTTTCCCACTCTTGCTATCGTGTTGAGAAACATAGTTTCCCCGATGATCTGTTCAGGTTTGGATCTATGCAGGACTGATGCCTGTACATTCCCCTAATTGGCAGAACCCCTGGTGGTTTGTGTTGGTTTGAATTTTGAGGTTTTTCTGGCTGTATAGCAGTGTCAGTAATTCTTTCATTTCAAAACATATTTTTAAGTAGCATCCATGGTTTTTCTTTTGGTGAAGGTGATGGGTACTAGATTGCCTGTCTCAGGTAAGCCTTGTGGAGAAAAATGTTTTCCAAGGACACGTGGGTCAGGTGGACTGCCCTTTCAGAGTTAATTGTTTCACTCTCCAGGATGATGGCCCTTTATTTCTTTTGATAAATGTTTTGCCTTAGAAACAACACCTCTTGTCTGTTAAGCAGCTTGTTCTGAGAGAAGCCAGAGCTCTCTCTGTTTAGGCTTGATTCCTCGTTATAAGCTTCCTTGGAAGAGAGCTGGAGCAAAAGATATCCTCCTTTTTCAGATGTGGGACGGGTGTTGGAAATGGGGACTGGAGAGTTGGCACTCCTGAGTTGTCAACCTAGGAACAAAGTCGCATCTGTCACTGCTGAGTCTTCATGGTGTAGGTGGGGTTTTTTTCCCAGGTGAATGTCCAGTGGTAAGCTTGCAGTATTGCATGCCCTTGAGCTTCTCATTACCTGGGAAAGGAGAGGAATGTGAGGTCTTTTGTGACAAGACTAGGCTGCTGGTCCCAGGAGAAATGTTTTTCTAGGGAACAAAAGGTTTGCATTCATCGCTCAGGCTGCTATGAGCCCCAAGGCCAGCTACTCTGTCACCTATGAAATGGGAGCCCTGATGCCCACCCTCCCCGCCTCAGGTATGATCTGAGCTCTGAAGTATTATCTGGGAACTTACAGAGAGTGATTATCTGTGTTTCCTGGGTCTACAGTATCTTCAATAGCTGATCCATCTTGTTGTTGACTAGTGCGCCTTCCATTTTGATAGGATTTTGCTAAGAACAAAATACAATAGAAGAAGCTCTGAAACATGACCAGGTTAAGGATGGAAGAACCCAGTTGCTTCTAGTAATGGACAGTGAGCCCCTTCTTCAAGGGTAAAGCTTAGAGCAGAGGTGGGTGGGGGCGGAGTTGCCCATGGACAGTTGGGCTCTTAGACATCCCCACGGAGTAGTTAGCCTGACTGGTGGGTTTCACCACGAGGTCTGCTCCACAGCTGTGGCAGAGCCCCTTTGTTATGTAAGCTAACTTTTATTTTCAATAATATATTAGATAATACTTTCCAGTTCATTTTTATAAAAGCTAACTTGGGTTTGGCAGAAAATCTGCTTCCTCCTTGCGTATCCAAATGTCACCTTTGCTCTGACTTAAAAACTCACCTCTGAAATCGACTTTTGGTGACTCGATTCTAGGGTTTTTGGGGAGTGGGGACGTGCAGGGAGCGGTGGTAGGGTGGTGTCCTGTAGTTAACTGCTTCCCCATCTGCTTAGCCTCTCTCATCTTCTTCTAATCAGTGCCGTGCTTAATTACCCCACTGCTCTTGCTTGTGTATGCATCACTGCATTTCCCCCAGAAGCCGGACATAGCTCTTATTCTCCAAGTAATGATAGTAATTGCTGGTAGGGCAGACCTGGTCCTCATCCTTCTCCAAGCACATTTCTTATGGCAGGTGTCTAGTTCCTAATTAAGTGCTAATGAGCATGCCTAGCGGACCTTGACGCCACTGCCAGCTTCTTCAGTTTTATGTCTTGCTATTGCCGCGCTCTTAAAAGGTGACAGAGCAAGAATTAGTGTCTTCGGGATGACAGGAAGGTGATTTTGTACCTAAGGGAATTGTTATTATGATCTCAAATGGCGAACGAATAGTTTATAAATACTTTCCAAGAATGCTGTTAATGCTGTCCTCTCGGATTTTGCCCCCTTTTCCAATTTCCCTCTAATTAGGACTGTGCTCTCTTTGAAGGAGTGGAGGTTTAAAGAGAACATTGGCTCCTAAAGATTTTTAAAAAGATGCTAGTAGTAGTTGAAGATTTACTGTAAAATGATTGTAGACAGTGATTTCTGCTTTTAAGATGCTGTTTTCTCTTACTCTTGAGGGCGGGAACATGTTTAGTATTCAATTAAAGATCAGTAGTCTGGGTGGAAATTACTGAAGATCTGGTGTGAAGATTTAATATATTCAGTACACGCAAGGGGATAATAAATAAAACGAGTAATTGAGTCCCAGGGAAGTGAGCACAAATCAGAATCTTAAGAATTTCCTAACATTACACCTTAGAAATTGAGCTTTAATCGTTTTTACTGTCTCATCAAAAACGAGTTTTATGTTGGACAGCTGAGATGTGGCCAGATTTATGGTACAAGGGCCATTCCTTAGATACTTTTCCACTTCTACAACATGCTCTTAAATGTAATATATGAGAGTGATGATACTTTTTAATGTGAAGAGATTTATAATCTCTGGAATGGTTAGTGATAGGGGCAGGGGCATTTGAGAATGGGGACTTGGGTGTCTGTGGTTGCCCCATAGGACTGGTGTGAGTGTTTTCCTTTTGACATTGAAGGACTTGATCTGGGGCATGGAGCTCAGAGGAAGTACAAGGGATAAACAGAGCTTCATCTTAACTATGGTTTCTTCTGTCTGTCGCATGCATGGCCCCCTCAGCCCTCCTTCTGAATGTGGGGCCTCAGTGACCAGTGAGCCATAAGGGTCATTCCTGTGTTGACTCCACTCCCCTCCTGCCTGCTGGGAGAACCTCTGCAGTTTTCTCAGTGCTTTGAGCCTTGACTCCTTCTGTGAAATGGGAATGTCAGTACCTACTCGCAGTGAGGGCTTTAATGAAATAAGGACACACAGTGCCTGGGGGGGGGGGAGCGGGGAGGGGGCATAAGAAATGCTGGGTCTTCCTGTTTTCTGAGTTCTGTTTATTAAAGATAGTAGTTTGGTTTTGTTTCATCATAACATTGTGGTAAGTTAATGCAAGAATGTCGGGGTGAAATGCAGTCGCTTAATAACTGATGACTACTCAGTTACTATACTGTAGAAGCATATCTGTGCTTCCCCAATTTTAACCTTTCTGAAATCAGGATGAATCTTGAGTCTTTGGCATCTTAGATTCAGTAACATACTTGAGGCACTTAGAGATGGAATTAACTAAGATGTGAGTTGCTTACTAGCTTAGTCAGGTTTGCTGATGATAATACACAGAAAGCAACAGTATAGATCTGAGGGATTATATTTTGGGAAGATTGTATCTTATCAGGTAAAAGCTTTTGATGAACTGAAAATGCTAATCACCTTTTTTCCCTCTTTTTCTCCCTCTGTCTCCCTCTTTGCTCCCTTCTGTGTATGTCACCCTCGTGTTCTGTTTTCCTCCATCCTCTCATGTCATGTCTACTTTTTCCTGGATGCCGCCACCGCTGCCACCACCACCACCACCACCTCTTCCACCTCTTTTCCTTCCTCCTCCTCCTCCTCCTCCCTCGCCACCACCAACAGCAGCAGCAGTTGCAAGCTCAGCATCTTTCCCATGGCCACGGACCCCCAGTTCCCCTAACGCCTCACCCTTCAGGACTTCAGCCACCTGGAATCCCGCCCCTGGGCGGCAGTGCCGGCCTTCTGGCGCTGTCTAGTGCTCTGAGTGGGCAGTCTCACTTGGCAATAAAAGATGACAAGAAGCACCATGATGCAGAGCACCACAGAGGTGAGAGGCCGGGCAAGCCAGATTAGGACTTTGTCCTCACACTCTTACAGTGCTGCAAAGTTGTGTGCACCGCTAAAGAAAGCCCCAACCCATTCAGAGAGCAAACAATGAGCTAAGAGGAACTGTCGCAAAGCTTGGCCACTGAAATACAGTTCACCCTGGAAGTTCTCAGGGCTTAGCGTTGGGCATCTGTAGATTTCTCGATCTCTTTAGATTGCAGGCATCTTGACATCTTGGCAACTGCCTAGTTAATGCCAGTGGCCTGTACCATATTATGGAAAACTGTTAACTGCTTAATTGGGTAATTTTCAAAGAAAGTAATGTTGTTAAATGGGGCGAAATAAGAAGTTAAATCTGAAAGTGAATGTGTTCAAATGAGAGGTTTGATAATTGCATCTGTTACTGCTTAGCTTCATAGGCTTTAATTCTAGTATGCGTTAAATATTGGGCAAAATTGCACTTGACTAATTTTTTGAAGAAAAGTAATTTATTCTGTCAAGAAATAAAAAATAGGCTTTGTGTATGGTTAAACTGTAAATCTTATGTTTACAAAATACTGTAATTTTCAGGAAATCACTGTATTAGGAATGTGCAATGACTTATATAAATAAAAGCCATTTTTAAAACTGTTTGGGGCTTGTGTTCTAATTATCCCCCCCTTTTTTTATTTCTGTTCTTGCCTCTGTGTCTGAACGGGCATGTCTGTGCGTTTCTTGGTAACCTCGGGAGCAGACAGAGAACCCGGCACAGTAAGTACTCTAACGCTTGCCACACATGAACACACCCCCTTCCCGCAGTGCATCCCAACTGTCTTTCTTAAACACAGGCACAGACACGCACATTCTCCCCTGTCTCTCGCAGTGACCAGGTTTTTTATTTTTATTTTAAAACTATGGCTATTCTTTCTGTGCCCCCCACCCCCACTCCGGTATTTTTATAAAACTTTTGTTAGATGAGAGCAACATGATTTTGGGGCAGATCTGTTTGCTGTGATCTATATGTGTTCCAGACCCACTTAAAAATATATTTCCCATTACATTTTGAGTCTGGGTTGCCTGTAGTTTAAAAGACTATTTTTTATCTGAAATCAGTTTTACAGGCAAGAGGTCATAATCCACATGTGAAATTGGTTAGTAATGTGTTATTTCTATCTGAACCATTTATTATCCTCTGCAAATGTATCTTAGTTGCTAGGTTTCCATATCTAGTTTTCTTTTCATAATTGTCCTTGTAGTGTGAACTTGAACTTAAATTTATTTTAGACCAAAGAATTGAGCATATAATAAGTTCTTAAAAATAAGGAAATTCAGTGAACAGGGGTTCTGTTGCTTGGAGAGCTCATCTTTTCACCAGTCTAAATCTTAACCCATTTTACATGACGATCTGTACGCATATCACCAGTTAGCTGTGTGGGGAGGTCTGTGTCTACAATGCATCTCTCAAATGTTGTGATCACATAGAGTGAGAAATTGGCCCCTGTTCTGGTATGATAACTTACAGGGTTTTTTTTGCCTCCTTTCCTCCCTTTTATTTATTTTTTGAACATGGCAGTATTTTGACCATCTTAAATCTAACTGGTAGGGGAAAAAATGGGATACTGAACTTTTAAATCATTCTGATGACTTGTCTGCTCTGGGTTTGGAAGGAAGATATGTAATTCTTTTCATTCTGGAAAGTGTACTTTTCCCCCCTCCCTTTTCTGTGTAGAATAGTATTGACTTTGTGTGTGTGATGTATTTTTTTTTTTTTTATCCTCACCGAAGCCATTTTTCCATTTTTTGTTCAGATAGTGTGGGAGGGAGAGAGAGAGAGAGAAACATTGACGTGAAAGGGACACATCGAGTGGTTGCCACCGGCATGACCCAAGTAGGGTCGGGGACAAACTGCAATTGAGGTACGTTCCCTTAGCAGGAACCGAACCTGGGTCTCTCCGGACTGCAGGCCGACGCTTTAACCACTAAGCCAAACCGGCCAGGGTTGTATTTATTTATTTATTTTTAATTTTAATTGATCTTTAGAGAGAGAGGAAGGGGGGGTGGAGAGAGAGAGAAACATTGATGTGAGAACGAAACACCTATCGACTGCCTCCCGCACACTCCCCACTGGGGATCCAGCCTATAACCAGGGCATGTGCTGTGACCAGCAACCAGCAACCTTTTGTTGGATGGGATGATGCCCAACCAGCCATACCAGCCAGGGCGAATAGTAGTGGCTTCAAAAATTCTCTTTGAGACGGACCTTGGAATACTTGGTGTATCGGGATATTTTGGGGGAATGGATAATGGTGAAGGGATGGGGTAGCTAGGTTTAGAATTCTGGTACTACAAGTTTTCTCTGGAAAATGTTGGGGGAGAAAAAGTTATGACTGGGGAATAAAATATTCTCCTCAAAGTACACACCTAAGTAAACAGACTGATTTATGGAGGTGACCTTTATGTTTTGCTGTTTGTGTCCCTGCAGATTATCATCTTTTCTGCCATGTTCATTCAATAGAGTGTTAAATTAAAATCCCTAATCCTGGACCAGGGAACAGATAGCAGAAAATACTGAGAGAGCCCATGTCCTTTAGTTTGATGCATGTTTTAATTTATTGAACTTATTCTAGGTTTGGGACTTTAACTTTTATTCTCAGTACTATGGTTTCACCTTAAATCACTGAATATTTTATTTATTGAGTATTTACTATATGTAAGGTAATGTAGGAAATGCATTTGTAGTTTGGTATACACACATACCACAAGACCTTTCTAAAGGAACCAAGGAGAGAGGTGACCAAAACCCTAAAAAAGAGAGACTAGAAAGTTTCACAAAAGTTCTAGGCAATTGTAGGAGGGATACCGTGGTGTATGTAGCTCCATGAAATGCCAGCGAGTAGCAGGAATGAGGAGAGGTTTGCATGCTTAAGCTAGTAGCAGCATTTCCTAGACCTCTTTGTGTATTTCTGAATGTATCTAATAATCTATTTTATTTTTGGCTGAAAAAATGTAAACAACTTAGTCCATTGTGGAAGTGAGTGTGGGATGAAGGAAGAATGATGAGTTACATCCTTAAAGAAGGACAAAATAGTTCCTGAATTTCAGGCAACTGTGGATTACTTTTAAGTCTCCATGTTGAGTTAGCAGTCAGTGAAGTTCAAGTCAAAATGTGGATACATTGCATAAAGGAGTCTGTAAAACAGTATAAAATAAATGGCTACTTAATGTGTTATTTGTATGTTTCCTTTTTCACGCCCAATTTTTGACAAGTTGTAATCACAATTTCAGAATATTTTCAGAATATGTACTGTGTTTCCTACCTAATTGTTACAGAAAACTATAGGTGATGATATAAAATGGGAAAACTGCACTAATTTGTAACACATTTTATTCAGTCTATAGAGAGGAATTAAGCTGTTTGCTGTTCATGTAAGTGGGATTTTGCTGCAGTTATATAGTAGCTCTTCAAACTTTGTGTAAAATTGAATATGAGAAGCAATGGGTAATAAGATGATATGTACTATCAGTGCCTAAAATATGATAGTACTTATCTCTTCACTAAAGTGGTTTGGATCATGAAGTTGAATTTTACTTGGCAGATAAAGTCAGCTGATTGCTCTGTAATGCTCTTGTTTCTTTTCATCAAGTGAGGGGTTAAGAGTGGTTGCTACAGGGCAGAAGTTTTCAAACCTTATGGTTTCAGGATTTTTTTTTTTAAGAGAGTGGAAGGGAGGGACAGAGAGAGAGACATCTATGTGAAAAAGATACACCAACAATTGGTTGCCTCCTGCATGACCCCAACTCGGGTCGGGAATCGAACCTGCAACCCAGGTATGTGCCCTTGACCGGAATCAAACCTGCAACCCTTCGGTCTGCAGGCTGACGCTCTTAATGGCTGAGCCAAACTGGCCAGGGCTCAGGATTTTTTATACCCTTAAATTAAAATCTGAGAACTCCCAGAAGACTAAGGAGTTCTGAAAAATTCCAGACTTGTCTATAGTCTTACATGTCCCTGTTCTTCTTTCTATAGTGAACACACATTATTTATATTAAGTGCAGAAACCAAGAACTTAGTAGATCCAGAGGGAATGTGGGTATGTATGGGTTTGTATCTGTAAGTCTAAAACAGGTTCATAGGTCGTGTTAGCTTATTTTTAGTGAGAAAATTATTCCATTTGCTAGTTTTAAGGTTTTATGGTAGGAAAACAAGTGAGCCTTAATGTAACCTGTTTTAGTGTGAAACCAGGAAGTGAAGACACTAAGAACGGGGTGAAAACATGGACACAATTTTTAAGTCGCTTCTTTCTGAAAGGGATGAATGATAAAACCAGTAACTTCTAAGATGTTTATTTTGCTATTTGTTGTTTATAAATTAAGATTTGACTAGTGTTTTTCTAATTTGCAAAAAACAAAGAAATATGAAATGACCTAACAAAGGCCTTTATTTCTTCAGTAGTAATAAAAACCTTAGGCATTTCAATTAGGGATGAATTGCATTACATTTTGGCCAAAGGGAGTATTATTTAAATAAGTCTGCTTGAAAGACCTGGAAATAGAGAGTTGACTAAGAGTTGTATGGCTTTTAAGAAAATGGAATAGAATATGTGTTTAAATCCTCATCAGTTTAACAAATATTTGCTGAGCACTGACTGCCCAGCACTGTTTGAGATGCTGCATATACGTGTTGCCATTTTGCAGTGTTGTCTTTTAAAGTCACAGTCAGATATTTGTTTCAGTGACAACACTGAAATTCCTGAAGCATGTGATCACTCATTGGAACATTTGGAAAAAGGGGTGGAGGGATTGGGGAGACTGTAGGGCACAGGGGGTCTGTGGACTTAGGGTTCATAGATGGGCCTGAGAAGGTTCTTGAACCCTCTAAAAATTATGCAGATTGTTCTGGGTCAGGGCTCTTTCACATGATTCTGGGGAGAGAAAACTTTCATCAAATTCTCAAAAGGGATTCCTGGTCCATAAAAGTCTAGGTACTATTCACTTACATTAGAGATCGAAACAGTGCAGTCATCATTTTACCGATAAGAACCAAGCTCAAGGAGGTTGGGTGCCTCTGGTCATACATTTGCTCAGTTAAGGGCACTTGAGAACTAGATCCTGTCTCAGAGGGACTGTGTTGTCACTCCTGCAACTGGCTTCTAAAATCATCGGGATCATATTTAGAACTTTTTTTCAAAGCGCTTATGACAACAATTACTGTATATAATGTAAGGTGTCTTTACAGTCATCCCTTGCCACTTCACACTTCGACTTTGCGGCTTCACTGTATTGAGTTTTTTTCAAATATATTTATTAAAAAGTTGATCGAGCCCTGGCCGATTTGGCTCAGCGGTTGGAACATCAGCCTGCGGACCAGAGAGTCCCAGGCTCGGTTCCCGCTAGGGGCACGTACCAAAGGAAAAAAAAAAGTTGATTGAGACAGTGAAAACGATACAGCTCGTGCTCGGTTGTCTGAGTCAATTATACACTCCTGTATAACAATTACAATTAAAATTACCGTACGTATGGACTGTAGGCCTAACACCTACCGTGGTGTATTCTAGCACCCCAGGTGCAACCGCTAGAGTGGAACAGATTAACCGCAATAAACGAGGGATGACTGCATTTTGTTTTTCTCTAGTTATACTTGCCTAGTTAATTGGCCGAGGTAGGGCAGGACCAGATCCTAGTTCAGCACCACCCATCACTTCACTTTTTCTTAAAAATGACTGGAGAGCATAGGGCTTTCATTGGGAAAACTGTATTGTTGGTCTTCTGAC